CAGAAAAATGGATAAAAGTTTGTACCTTTGCTTGTCACTGGGCCTGTACCCTTGTAATTGTACCTTTTAAGGTACATAAATGGACTCTGAGGAACATCCCAAAGGTACAAACAGCATTAAAGTACCAACAATGGTACAGAAATGTTCCTCAGAGTCCATTTCTGTATCTTAAACGGTACAATTACCTAAAGCTAAGAGTACAGTTGGCAGACCCTTGAGGGTACAGCCCCAGTGACATGCAAAGATAACATTTTTTTCCTTTTTTTTGAGGGTATACGACCAATGAAATTGAAATGACATCTCAGTGTATGACCCATGCCTCACATAACTGGAGGCAACAATAAATAATACTGACTTTGACTTGGTCGTCATCATCACTCACCACTTGCCTACGATCTTGCTAACGTAGCTGGCCTTCCTGAGCATTTCAGGCAGCAGAACCTCGTCCTGGGCGATTCCTCCCACTATCTCCTGGGGGGTGTAAGCTGTAAGAAGCGTGTCCGGCACAGGGATCCGCAGGAGAGCAAAGACAAAGGCGTCAGGCTTCCACGGCGGGTCTCTGAAGCACCGTCACAAACACATGTTCCCTAACGCTGCCACACGAATCACGACCAGGCAGGTTTGAGCTTTTTTTTTTTTTTTTTTTTGGCTGGCTGCTATGGAGAATAAAACAAGCTGCATCTCAGTCTTTAAAACAGGAGTACTTAATTGCAGTCCTCAAGAGCCATTAGTACTACTGGCACGCAATCTAGGTTACCTCTTAACATCTCAATCAGGGGAATTATCTGCAGAAATCACGTCACTTGTGGCATGAGGGGGACATGAATTGTCTGCTTGGAACGACTGAAGCTGAAATGCGACTCAAAAAAAATGGTCGCACCCCCAGGACACCGGCACACCCTCCTGGTCTGAAACAGCAAGTCTTATGACTGAGGGTGACGGAGATGGCGACCCCCCCCCGACGACATAAAGGCCGCACCGTTCCTTCCATGGCCGTTGGTGGTGTAGAAGCCGTTTCTGACCGGTAGTCTTCCTGTCAGCAGTGCGGCTCTGGCTGAGAAATGCAGCAACAGATGCAGTCACTGTTAAACAACTTACAGTTTCTTTCTATCTTCCTTTATTTCTTTTCTCCATCCCCGTTCGCGCCGGATAACTCACAGCCTCATTTCCTTCCCTCTACGTGCTCAGCTGACTCGTCCTTGAGTAGGAAAACTATTCGCTTTTAATTCCAGGTAATTACGCCGTGTGGCATGACAAGACATTTTAATAGAAGCTGGCACCCAGACTTTATTTCCTGATTACCTACAAAGCCTTGCTCACCGGAATGTAGACAGACTGCATTATGTGAGCCTTGAACTGATAATGCTTCAGCGTTTGAGAGCACTCAAAAAAAAAAGAGAGAGAAAAACAGCACATATGCCAGTGAGTCAGCCTTAAAGAAGATTAAGCCCCATACAAGTAACTCAACATTAACAGCACACACACACACACACACACACACACACGATTCACGGAAAGCTAAAGCCAAGCATTCTTATAAACGTGTATGATAATGTCCCTGAACGTGATTAAATTCTAATTAATGCACAAGAATGACAGGCCTCTGACACAGTTCCCTCTCCCTAACACTGATGCAAAGTTGCAGGCAGTGCACTTATGACATCCTTACGGTGCCCAAATCACACACGTATGAGATTAATAATTGATAAAGTCTTATTTGCTGAAATATTAATTAGAAAAGAAAAGGCCTAATGGCACATCTCATTTAAATAGCACATTTATGCAAATTCTTAAATTAGGTCTAATTAGCATATTTCAAAAGTACATTATCCCCATTACCATAATGAGCCTTCTTACCACTATCATCCAAGCGTGTGTAGCTTAGTCTTTTGAATTATTCATAAGGCTGAGGGAACGGTCTTTTACAGGATTTCGGCGTCTACTACCAATCTCTCAACCCAAAAATTCTCTTTTCTCCCCCTTAATCACTGTTCGTGTGAGATGCTCTAACTATCTCTTACCTCTGGGAGTGCGGGCAGAGGCTTTAATCGCGTGGACAGTGATCAATCCTTAAAATTAAGGATGTGAGGCCATGAGGTTTTTAAGTGTCACGAGTATAGTCCTAATGGTTTTAAGGCCATTTTAGGGAGCGTTAGAAACTGGGAAAACGGGAAAGTAGCTACTGGAAATACATAATAATAATAATAATAATAATCGCAGTGACATGCCACTTTAAAGGATGACTGTATGTATTCTTTAAAATAATTATAAAAACTACGAAAGAGACAAACCTCCCCTGCCATTTTTGGCCCATATTAGTTGTTGGTGATTCTGCGGGGGGCTCCACAAGTACGACGCTTCCGACAAAAGACTATGTTAAATGAATGTAAATGTAACGAAAAAGGGGAAGCAGACGTGGTCAGACTCACAGGGGGAGCACAGAGGGTTGGCAGTGTAAAAGTTGGGGAAGAGCATCCCCTCAGCGGCCATTCGGTCCAGGTTCGGGGTCTCTTTGGACGGCTGTCCGAAAACCCCCAGATCACCCCAGCCCATCTGGAAATATAAGCAGTGGCGGTTCAATCCGAATTAGTGCATATCAAAAGGCGACAGAATGACAAAACGGCTTATTTTTATTATATGTTATACTTGACACAAAAAAGACAACTTTTACTCAACATCATACTCGATTAATAAAATAATCACGTCAACACAACATTGCAAAACTGTCCCGCTGCACAAATTTACGGAATGCCTTCATTTCTACCGCAGTCTCACAACGTCACGCAAAGCTGAAAATGAAATAAAGTCGTCCTTACGTCATCCATAAGCATGATTATAATATTTGGAGTAGTGCCATTCTTGATCGCCTCTAAACATCTGCAGCATTTATAAGCGATTAGGAGAAGTAAAAGTTTCTTAAAGTGGTCGACGCTCATAGCCGCTTCTACTGCATAGAGCGAAGTGTCACATGACAGGCAATTAAGGAAGTAGCTGACGGCCGGTCACATGCAGCCTATGCATTAATCCTGCTGCACTAAAGCATCGCTGAATGCAACGCCTGTCCTAAATCTTGATTTCATCATTTGGTTATGTACAGTTTCAGAAATTAAACATGAGCCAGTATTGGTGACGTGCAGGTCTTTTATTTTGGCTCAAAGTCTCCCATGAGGTAGTGAAACAGTCGACGTTATGAATGAGAAAATGTTTTTTTTTTAAAAAACAGCAAAAATATTACAATTAAGATATCGTAATGTGTAAGGAAATATGATTGTAGATAACATAAAAGCTGTTGTATTTTTGGCTAGTTGAGGAGCAGTGCATTTAGTTTACAGTTCTGACGCACATATTTTATTATAACTTGCAGAGCAGCCATCTTGAAATACAAGAAGAACCAGTACAAATAAATAGACTTCGGACATGTGATATTACAAAAGGAATGTATTTAAGGAAATTGAACACAGAAGCTGGATACGGAATATAAAACGGAGACGCAGGAAGCGTGTGCACGTCGCGATCACGTGACCAGCCTTCAACCATCCAACATGGCCGTCTGCATCGCTGTGGTAGCTAAAGAGGTACGTACAAGCTGCTGCTTTTCCATTTAGCTGATTAACGAGATTTTGTTTTGCGTGTTTTTTGTATTTCGCCATTCCTTATATATGTAGTCGTTTTAATTAAAATCCGATTGTATTACCGCACACCGTCTCCTGTTTTGACACTTAAGTGACACGAGAGACGTTGCACTCGTTGATGATTGTTTTATGTTGTAGAACTACCCCCTGTACATCCGGAGTGTGCCCTCGGAGAATGAACTGAAGTTTCATTACACCGTACACACGTCGCTTGACGTGGTGGAGGAAAAAGTATCGGCCGTAGGAAAAGTGCTGGTGGATCAGAGAGAACTGTACCTTGGTTTGCTGTACCCGACAGAAGATTACAAAGTGTATCCTTGCGTTACCGATTACGCTACTGTTACACCTTTTTTACCATAACACTTCCAGTTGTGACCGCTGCGGCTTAGTGGTGTGGTTCCGGGTGTTGGTTTTTTGTAGGCCAGGATGAATACAGCCACACATGCATCTTGTTCATTCATATACACCCACGTACATGTTCATACCTAGTGAATAATTCATCACCTTTACAGTGACATCAGATATGGCTACGTAACGAATTCAAAGGTGAAATTTGTCATCGTGGTGGAGTCATCCAACACATCTCTTAGAGACAACGAGATCCGCAGTGTAAGCCACTTCGCCATTCTTGCACTACATTAGTTCTTAAAGCTTCCTAAATCTAATCCTAGCCTTTGACCTTAACATCGCCACCTTTTCTAGGTCAGTTTTACTCCAAACATCAGAATTTACTGCTGCATATGTTATACCTGTTTAACACTACTTAATAATAGTAGTAACATTGGCTATGCAACATATTTGCAATTATATACAAGTGAAATGTGTATCTACAAAAGACATAACATTGTAGTCATAAAAGGACACCTGAACTTGTACAAGAATGTAAAATTGATAATTAACTGTTCAATTGCTTCAGCATTACATCTGCTTCATAACATTGACAGTTAATGTTCCTTCTTGCAGATGTTTCGGAAGTTGCACAACTCCTTCACGGACGTGATGTGCAATCCTTTCTACAATCCTGGAGATCTCATTCAGTCAAAGTAAGGGGCTTATTTTATCTCCCACTTTGCAGTGATTGACATCAGTTTGTTCATCATCCTGGCGTTTCCATGCATTTTCCCAGGGCGTTTGACAGTGTGGTGTCATCCATGATGGTCCAGGCTTGCTGAAGACCTCCTCATCTGTATATACACTGTATATAAATCTCTACCCATTTCCCTTGTTTAAAGTATTTGGTCTGTCTGTTTTTGAAAGTTGAATAAAAATGCTTATGTTCTCTAATAAAGAGCCATAACTAAATAATGAACATTTATTTATCCAGTAAAGAAATGTATTTACAATACACATACATAAACATTTTAATTGTTAAAAAAAAAACAAACAAAAAAAACACTTAAATTCAAGGCACGGCTGCAAATCCTCTCCCAAACACATGTGCAATATTCTCAAAGGATATGCTGCAAAATATGCCTGACCTGCATCAACTCTACATGACCCATCCCCCCACAGAATACCTGTCTCAATCCTATAAAATGCAGGAACCAATGCTTGGCACATCCATTGAGAAGAGGGGAAAAAAAAAGTACACTTTGCTTCCAGGATAAAAAGCTATACACAGTGAGACAGCATGTGCTTAGGAGACAAACACGAGAGAATTAAAGCAACATCACAGCCTCTGTATCTTCACATCCTCTTTTTACACACTAGTAAGGAGTAAACCAAGGCTGAGGTCCGCCACCTCCCCTAAAACGAGGAAAAAAGGTGGATCAATTTTGGAACGATGGAATTTAACTCATTTCTGAGGCATCGCAACGTTGCAGGGCTGCCTGGCAGTTTTACCTCCCATTCTGGTTGTCTGCAGGGACAGCATTAGCATCTATTCTGGCAAACTAGTTCCAAATCAGAAGAAGATTCCAGAAATTCCTCTGGACTTTGCTTAAACCTTTACCTTTGTGCTCGTCTCACCCCAGCTAATTAACCTCCCTTTAATTTTCCACTAGGAAACCTGTATTCTCTAAGTTTACATTCCAATGAGTCTTCAGATTTAAAAAAAAATTGAGGTAATTCTATGGAGTCACATCTTTTATTCAAGGTACAAATGTAACACAGTTAAAGAGCAGAAGCCCGACTTCCTAGATGAGGGCACAGGGGCTATCGTTGCTGCTTTCCACTTGGGCCCGGCCCAGAGTCGCTGGCTGGTGGTGTAATGAGCAGGAGGCAGGGGTGTCGCTTCGCACCCTGGTGCCGGTGCTCCGCAGCTCCCCAGGGCCGCTTTCCCGCCGGGAGGCCGTAGGGGTGTGGCAGTACTGACCTGGAGGGGCGGCAGTAGTACCTGCCCTGAAAGCCGCTGTTAAATCTGAAGGAGCGGAAGCCTCGTCCTCGAGATCGAGCCCCACGGAAGCTGCCCCGGTCGGTACTGCTGATCCCAGGCATGTTGGTCCGTTTGGGCAACACCTGCATGACAACAGTGACACGTGGCTCTAAGCTCAGGTCACTTGGAATGTATTATTTCAGCAATAAAATGTGCAGCACATGGGCAGATAAAAGGCTGGGCATCACAATAAAAACAATACACAGATATTTCTAAGTGAGTAGAACCATAGAAGAGAGACTGTGCTGTCCACCCCCCCCCCCCATAAATATAACTGGCCCCCAAATCCTTTTCGGTAGCCTCCACAGGAACGGTAAACCTGCTCAAACTAGTAACCCAGTCTTCCCAGACCTCAATCCTATAGGACAGTGTTTCCCAATCCGGTCCACGTTTTTACTCCCTCCCAGCTCCCTAGCAAAAAATGTGGACTGTCTGTCAAAGGAAATGGGACAAACTGGACAGTAGAGTCAAAACAACCTCCCAAAAGCTCAAAAACTGCTGCAGAAGAGATGGGAAGATGTGATTTCCTGTTGAAGAAAAAAAAAACATTAACCAAACGTGTTTATGCTGTTATAAGGGCTAATGGTGACTGTTCTGAGGAAGATATGAATTTTCTTGAACACTTAGCTCTTTGTTTTGCTTATTGTAGTTTCCATTTTCAAATTGTAAAAGAATTTTATATGTAAAATAAGAAAAAAAGAAACCTAGATTCCAGCAAGTGTACTCACCAACCCTTGACTGGTACTGTGGATTCAGTGATTTCTACTCAGCCAAATTAAATTAAATTCCCATCTCTCACTAACACATGGATGCTGCATTGTTACATCATAAGACAATACCCATCTTAAGCACAACTTCTAAATCTCAGCTCTGTATCTCACCTTGATAATTCTACCTCTGAAGAGGGTCTCATCTAAGGTCATTGCAGTCCTCACAGAGTCCCTGTCTGAAAACTCGATGTACGCGAACCTGGAGAGAAGGCCCTTCAATTAACCATTAGTAGAAAGTGCAAGAAAAAGAAATGCAAGGGAAAACCACAGCACAAATGTTTCTTGAGAACAGAGGTATGTAAAAGTCTAACACTGACATTGTGGCAACATGGGGTGAACGACAGCTGGAATAAGGGTGGGAATTTACCCTTTTGGGTGGCCTGTAAATTTATCACACAGAATGGTGACGCGGTTCACAGGACCACAGCCATTAAAATGGATTTCCAATTCATCGGCGGTTGCACCATAGTCCACCTAAGAGTAATATAAAAAGTATGTTTAACGAAAAAAAAAAAACCCAGCATGCTCGCAGAACGTAGCACTTTGCTTTCAAAGACAGTGCAATCCCAAATCCATAAAACACAATGAAGCGAAGCGGAGAACGTCAGGAGACACAAACACTCACATTTCCCACGTAAACCGAACGGTTGTCTGCATCTATTCTCTCTTCGTGCGTCATTGTATAGAACAACCCTGGAGAACAGAAACGGAGGAGAATGGGGTTCAGGTAATGAAGAAGGAAGGGACATGCCGCAACAAATGGTATACCTGCAACCGTGAACTTGCATCAACCAAACAATAGTTCCAAACAGGTCCCATCATCCATGTCTCTGGAATTTCATTGCATCAAATGCCCTGATCCTTAGAGCTTCTAATTTAAAGCCCTTCACATAAGATTTTCAGTTATAATCTAGGGAAGTAACATCTTATTTATGATAGAGTATTAATAAGAGGTCTGGTCCAGGCAGTCGTAAGAGTACATCACTTGTACTCTTGTGTTGACTAAAGGGGACGACATCTTTGAATGGTGATCCATACCTGTTAGCTAATGACTTCTCTTTTTTTCCCTATAGTTAGAATGTTTTTCATTAGACTAAGATTGCAGTAAAAAGTGATGCTCCCATGCTTCAATTTAATAGCTTAAAAACACACATGTATAGTTTTTTTTATCATTGCATCTTAACTATGGCTGTTTGTAAAAATACTCACACTTTTGATCTTACAGTAGCATTTTTGTTTCCATGGCTGGGTGACATTGTTACTATTGATATCCTGCTATTATAAAGCTTAAGTAAGGCATTCTGGTTTCCCAAGGAGTTCTGAAAAAATGAAACTCACCCCCCGGGGGGCTACAAATGAGCCGCCTCTCTGACTCGTACTGCACCTCCTTCAGCTTCTCTGCCTCCTCTTCCATTTCTAGCACTCGGGCCTTAATTGCCTCCAGCTCCTGTAAAACATCAAGATGTGAAACACCGTATAAGCGACTAAAAGCAGGGCACCATTCCTTCACTGGCCCGTCATTTTCCTTTCCTACATTAAAATACCATCCGCTTAAATCTACAGTCCCGTTCATAATTTACGAAAAGCCACCTCCCGAAAAATCTTCATGGTCCTCATATGACACCCTCTACGCTACATCACAATTACAGACAAAATTACTATGAGATATTTTGAAAAAGAGACCATGTTAATTTACAAACAAATCAGGTTTGGACAATTGCCTGCACAAACAAACAATCTGGGACAGCTGAAAATGCGCCCCATTTTCCGGCCTGTTCGGGATATACGATCATCGCGGAAATTAAAAATGCAAAATAACGCCAAACAGTTTCACTGGCGACACTAAAACCCTCTTAAGGGTGTAGTTTTGCAGGGAAGAAAGCATAACCTGCACGCCATGCGATTTAAACGATCAGCATAAGCCAACGCGTCTCAATCATTCAGAAAAACATGCATACGATTAATCGACCATGCACTAGAACATGGCATTCAAGCCATTTTTAAAGTAATGCATATTTTAGAGAAACAGCTACCTTTGACCGTAGGTTTTACTGGATAAAGGATAAGTTATACGCAATGAATGAGGAGCATCGGTAGCGCGGAAGACCGATATAATCTTTTTTTTTTTTTTTTTTTGCAAGAGCTCGGTAGCAGCATTGAAGATAATAAGCACATCTTCACACTTACAGGATCCGCGGCGCTGCGATCCCCGACCAGCTCTCTGTCCAGATGCCTCTGCGCACCGCGTCTATGCTCCGCCATGTCAGTACCCAGCGGGCTCCAGCACCATGCCTGCTACAACCACTGCTTTTCTCGACTATCCTCACTGATCGATCCCAGATGGCGTAGCCTATAGACTGTAAGAGACGTCGGGCAGCGCAGATCGTGCGTGTCCGAGATGCTAATATTTAAGGCAGTAAAAATGAGAGACAATATTGGGCAGAATACCGTCTTCACACACAGCAATCAACTGCACGCCAAACGAGGACGGAGTTACCTGCTACCTGGCCAAGGTGATGAGCGATTTAGTGTCTCGATGTATGGGCACCTGCAGGTCACGTGATTACCGGAGCGTAGAAATAAAACACACCTAGAGTAGTTTGAGTAGTTATATCGGTGATTTACGCTGCAAACATACCAAAAGTTATAAATAACTCTGGAATTTAACCTGTTTACTAGCCAGATGGATTGGTTTTCGAAAGGGGCTGCTCTGGTCTGAAAATATATAAACATGTTTCTCATTGCGGAGATGTTCGCTGACTTTCTCGGTTCAGCCGCATTATAATTGGTGATTGTGTACATTCACTCTATCTGGGGATATTTGTCAAGCTTTTACACATAGGAACCTGTTTTACTTCAAGGAGGATGAAAGTAAATGTCTATTTTTTGTTTTATGCTTTTCTTTGCTCACGTGGCGATTTTGGGCCATTAGATATGCAGATGCAGACCCGGTGGTCTTATTGGGCCCCTGGATATTCCCATACCACGAATGCATTGATGGAATAATTTATTACTTTGCAGACTGCATTTCGCATGGTGCCATTAGGCTATGGGCGTAGATTTGACGAGGATATGAGGATGGACTCGAGCTTCAACTCTTTCAATAGTTACGACCAATTTCATAACAAAAAAGTATATGTGTGTTTCAGCTGTTTGTACCTTTATGATTCTTTAAAATGCCAGATAGGCCTATATTTCCTATTCCCAAAGAATTTATTGGGCCACAATATACTTTGTGCTGGAATCTGTCATTTTCAGACTACTGTCGGACTAGTAGCCTATGTAGTCATCAGGTTACACACTGGTGACAACCGTATCATATAAAGATTTACAATACACGTTAGCTGATTTAAGACGTTGTGATTTCCAGTGCAATTCAGTATAACTAAAACCCTACAATGTACATATAATAGCCTACATACAGTAGCAGCAGCATTGGCTGTACTCCTGATGTGTTATGTGCTTAGCCTGAATTAAAAGAAAAGCACTACTTTGATAGAATGTAGCTTAATTACCTTCGAGGTCCGTTGGTTCTTTATGGCCGTTGCTGCATAGTATTAATTTTCATTTACTAATATTAAGACTGGAGCAACAGAGCTCTCTCTATCTGTATAGTCGTTCTGGGAATAAGGAAATAATTCATGAAGCGTAAGAGGAGATCATATTCAATTTTCTTTTTTAATTACACAGATACATAGCTCAACACAGACAATAACCTGAATTAGAATGTTTACAGCTTCACATGTCCGACGTAGCGCACGATTAGAGGGAAACAGCGAAAGGGGACGCATGCAAGAAATAAATTAAAATGAAAATACAATTCTCCTGGCACAGTTTGCTTTTCTTAGAGCATGATCACAGGACTCTTAAAGAGGAACAGAAAATTACATTTTCTTCAACACACCAACCTTCCTACAGAAACGTACTTTTTTCTGTAATAATGTATTGCACGAAACAGCATATTATGATTCTCTACACATATCAAATCAAACCTTCATTTGTCTAAAGCGTTTATTTAAAAAAGAGTCCCTACAATGGCTTTGAGAATACAAGCTGTACCCATCTTTCCAAAGACCTTTCCAGCGGTTAAGCTTTGCCAGGTTTACAGTACAAACTATTATTATTATTATTATTATTTTTACCGAAACAGCTGAAGAATCACACAGGCAATGTAAACCAGTTTGTTTTTTCTAGGTTAGTAAAAACTGTGTCAGAGAAGCTTATGTCTCCGCACGTTATACGCATAATGGAACATATTCTTCATAGACCATGTTTTAAAAAGCTGAAAAGAATGTGACAGACGGGTTTTCTTCGCCAACGCAGGAATGAGTTGGACCCCCCGCACCTGTTAATGAAACGAACATTCAAATATATTTACAGCAGCCGACGGCTCTCCTTGTTGCAAATTTCAGAAGCGTTAAAGCAGAAATCCTTTTGACTATACTCCCAAATGACCATATCCATGTCTGAATAATTAAAAACACCTGTTCGTATTGTTCAACGGCATGAGGACAGTTCCTTTTAGTGCAGTGGAGATAGGAGAATTGTTTTTTGCCGAGTAGTTCACGGCAACGCCTGAAACCATAACCCAGAATTATTTGCTGATATGATCGGAGTGTTTTTGGACATATACAACAATGTCAAAATCTCTCTTTCTTTCCACTTCAGCTGTGACAAGCATGTCTTCCTCCCAGTAGTACTCCACACTAGCATCCCTTTCTGATGCTGCTGCAATGGGATCGGGACCCCCAGAACAATGGGATCGGGACCCCCAGAACAATGGGATCGGGACCCCCAGAACGAACCCCCTGACAGAATTCCATACGATTCACAGACAGAAAGTCTTCATAGATAGAAATATTGTGGGAATATCGGTGATAAAAACAGAGAAACCTAAAAGTTACACATAGTTTTTTTTTTTTTTTTTTGGTTAGATTTGTTGAGGTTATTTAACTAAACAATTACAATCCAAAGAATCATGCCTCAAGTTTGATCCACAGGCAGACATACCAAGCACGGCTAGACATATAGAGAATAAGAAAATAGTAGCATCATCTGAAAATAGTAGCCTAACTTTCCAAATTCTCTCAATGGAATACGAGGTTTTAGTGCTGCTCCTGTTGGTTTGATAATATTCCTCCCATGTTTACGCCTCAAATGTCTGATTAAAGCTCAGGGTGCTGACTTCTGTCTGGTCATACAAATAAACTACACATTGAAGCATTTACCCCTGCGGTTCTTGTGTAATTACTACATTTTCACATTCCTAAATAAGAAGCTGTAATATTCTGCGGCGAATGATTGGAGTAAACAGGTAATTATGCGTTTGAAATGCTTAAATGGAAAAAGCTGAAACGGTAGCTAGCTGTCGATCTCCGCGCTTTCATGCATTGGCATTTTTGTGCTTCGAGCAAATTCGTCTATTTTAGATACTTTGGTTTACACATAGTTGGTACGGAGCCTCCTACTCTCAGACTTGCCCGTGGCATGTCGAAACTGCTCATTGGTGAGATCTGCAGCCATTCGGAGATGCTTTGGTCTGTGCTTTTCGTTATTTTGGAAGAAATATGACATAAGAAGGGTTACAGGCTCACAGAACATTCGCCTCAAAATGCAACTTCTGCCCACTGAGATAAGCCGCCTTTCCTTCACAGCACAAAAGCCTGCATTATAAAGTTAGCACCAAATCGCGGGGTCTCCCTCACGTTTGCCTGAGTGTCACTATGTCAGGCTTTGGGTTATGGGAACAGGTTTGGCACTATTGAAGCGATCTGGATGTTTTACAGGCATGCCATAGGCATCATCAGTCAAAAGGTGGAATCCTCATGCTCTTTAATGAGTTTTTTTTGTGACTGAAAAGCAGTGCTGTTGGCTGTATTATTAAGAAATAATACTCTTTATTGGATTGTGGAACCAGCAGGTTCTGTTGAAATCAACACATTACGGCGGCTGCTGTTTAAACCAGCTATCAAGGTCGGCTTTCTCAGACTTTGCCAGGAAATCTCAGTGGGCTTGCAGGTTTGTTAAACAAGCGCAGCTCTCACAGCTGAGTGCTTCAGCTCTGTTCTTCATTTATTTGCTCGGCAGTGATGTCTATCTGCTTTTTCCAATGATTACTCAGAGGTAGAGGGAGAACTACCAGTTAGTGGTCTGTGGATGGGTTTGTGGGGGCCAGAATCCTATCATGGGAGGGGGGCAATGCAGAACAGTGGATCACTGTTTTAGACGAGACGTACAAACTAAAGAACAACAGATGCAGTGAAACATAGATAATATATCAAAACACACACACACGCACGCGCGAACACTCACACATATACAGAGACAAATAGAGAGATGGATGACATGTTGTAGTCTGCAAAAATTAAATATTGGGAATGGAATATGAAGATGGATCAGGCGCATTGCACTAGCGCAGTGCACTTAACTTTGACTAGCCCGAAATGCTCTAAGATGAAACAAGTAACACTCTGAAATGAAGTTAAACGGGACAAAATTATTTAGAGAGTTTAATAGGCTATTACTTAACTGGATGTGGAGTTATTTGGAGTTAAATAATTTGGATATGAGCTGTCTATTTCATTGGAGAACCTTGGATTCTGTTTAAAATGATTACTTTGTTAATGGTAATATTCGAAAGCGCCATCGTCCTCCGTGGGCCAGTAATCTCAGAACGGATTAAAAGTACATTAACTGTTGAAACAAGTCTTTACGGTTTTAGTTCAAAGTTTCTCTTCATAACTTGATGCCACACTCAGCTGCCGCAGCGACACGTCTGTCCAATAGGTGGCAGTATTTCACCTAAATTCACGAGACTAACGCAGTAAAACTTGCTTTGTTAGAAGTCGGACAAGAGCGAAGGCGGCTGGTGTTAATTCGGCGCTCAAAAAGCCAGTCCTTCCAGGGGACCAGAAAAGGACCGTATCGCACAAAGTCAACAAGGAGATATTTCTTTACACGCGTGCATGATGCGTAAAGAACGTGCATGCTGTGCTGCGGCCACGCGCCGCTGCGCTGGAGTGGCTCGCGCCGCGCTCGAGCTGCGATTCCACGGGCAGCATCACGCGCCCTGTACGTGTATTTCTCCTGTGTATTAGACGCGCCTCAGATTGCGTAAATAAAGAAAAATGAAGCTTTTGAATGCTGAACTGTAATTGCTTCAATAAAAATGTTAAATGAAAAAAAAGTATATTCTAGACTTTATACTTTCTGTTATTTGGCAAACATTTTTTGGACCTCTTTAAATACTATATACATTCACATTAAGTTAATGTTATTGTTTTAAATATATTTACGTATATTTATATTCTACATATCACCCTAAGGGCAGTTGCTGAGGTTCCCTTCAGTAGCTGAATTCTGCTATCATATTGCACCTCTAACTTCTTGCTGTGTCACAATACGAGTAATATAGAATATTCTGGGTTCACTTTTTACTGCCTGCTGCAGATTCAAAGGAGACTCTGCTGATAAATGTCTTTCTTTATGTTACAAAGTTCAACCCCAAAACATTAAAGCGCTGGATTCTTCCTGTCAGGGGGTGGTCTGCACACAAACATCAGAGACAAGACGTTTTTTTTCCCCTTAAAAAATAAACAAAACCAGTATCTACAAACAAGGTTTATCCCCTTCACAAATTATATATATATGTATATATGCATGGATACATACATACATATATATATATATATATATATATATATATATATATATATATATATACATATATATATATATATACACACACACACACTGTGTGTCTTGTTGAGGTGGGCCGAGATTAGCTAAAGGGGCCATGGGGTGTGGAGGAAGGTACACATGAGGGAGGTAGAGAAAGAGAGAAATCAACAGTGCTCTGCATGCTTTCGAAAAAGGAAAGTAAAAGCGGAAAGGTCAAACCCCCTTAAATGTCTTTGGAGAGAGACAAAGAGCTTCCAATCTGGAGGGTTTGCATGTGGGACAAGGTCTGTTTCAGTGCCGTTCAGTTCTGTGAGGATCAGCAGTTCTGTCTTCACTGGGAGCCGGCCAGCATCTTTTGGTTTCCAGTCCATCACCGCTCAAAAAAATAAGTAAAGTCACTGTCTTGTTCACTTTCTCATCAGTTCTGCTTGTTGCTGTTTTCGTGTGACGGGAAAAACTCCGGAAGTGATTTTCCCATCACCATGGAAATGTGTCTGAGTGACAGCAGGGTTGCTGTCGGTTCGGCTTCGACGCACGGGGCCCCGGGCCCTGCTGCTGCTCCCCTCCCAGCGCCGACCCCGCAGAGAGGCTGAAGTAGCTTGCGTTTGGTTACGAGATCAGTGCTCCTCCTCGTCACTTAGTAACTTTGGCAGTGTAGTAAAAATAGAAAGGTTTGGATCGTGTTCTTTTAAAATTCATTTGGGTTCACATCTGTACAGAGAGGTGAGTCCGGTGTACATTTTCTTGGCTCGCTAGCAAGGTAGTTAACGGGTTTTTTTTTTTTTTAAATTTTCTCTATTCCTTCAGGATTTTTGGATTATTCTTTTATTATTCTTGTTTAAAGCCAAAAACAAACCTTTAAAGTTATTATTTTGTGAGATAAAGCGTCACTTTTCTTGTTGAAGAGTCCCTCTTTGAGGTGAGCCTAGCACTGTATGTGTGCATACGGGGGGAGGGGGGGCATAACCCCACAACTGTCATGTTTCAGAAGATCGGTGTACCATTACCCCCCTCATGTTAAATGAGGTGAAATATTTGTTTACTCCATCCCCCCCCCCCATATACACAACATACAGTGGGTTTAGGTTACCCAAGCCAGACAAAATCACCGTAAGTTGCTGTGATGGCTGAAGTGCTGTGCTGATGTTAAACTGTCTGGTTATTAACTGGCAATAAGATGGCGGACTTTTTAGCTGGAACCTGTGTGTCGAAGGCAGTGGAGGGTGTTCATGTTTATCGGTGCGGCTGTGGGTGAAATAAGATCTGGCCTGACCGCACAATAAAGCAAATACCTCGTGTCTTCACGAGTATGTGTGTGTGTGTCTGCACACGCGTGTGTGTGGTTGACCGAGAGACAGCGAAGGTTTTAGGGGTAGCAAAAAGAAGATCTTCAGGTAGCTGAAAAGTGGCACCCATTAGCTACAGCTCAGGGGGTGATAGTTCTCAAAGGAGATTCTTCAGTCTGTTGTGGAGGGAGTGGGGTTGCTGTAACGGCGGCCGTCAGCGGGAGGCGCTGTCCAGCAGGGCAGGAGTGGCAGGGGTTGTGGACCGTGAGGCGCTGCTGGAGCTGGCTTCCTTTGGACTGGCCGTGGTGCTGTTGCTGCCCCCCCCGGCACCAGCAGCCGGGCCGGACAGGGAGAGGGACGCAGGGGGGTTGCTCTCGGAGTGTGTGGGGGGTGCCCCAGAGGAAGAGGAGGACGAGGAGGATGTTGCCCCTGGCAGACTCTGCCCACACACGTGGTGGTGCTTCTCCCAGTCCCGGTGCTGGCAGAAGGAGCCGCAGTAGCGCGCCGTGTTGCAGCCACTGCATGTCTCGCTGGCCTTTCGCCCGCAGTTCCAGCAGCTCTGAGGGGGGAGGTAGGGGGGGGGGGGGGCAGAGGGGCTCTCCATTACCCACGGCGACGTAGTTTGAGTGACTGTAATATTTAGGCTCTTTAATGTTGAACTGTGCAGGGGCAACTCTAGGAGTTTTTTAAGGTAGGGGCATAAGAGCACCGTAATTCACATAGAGGGGCCGTCCTTATCATTAACCAGTGATATGCTTTGAATCTGTGAGTGACAGGGGGCACTCCGGCAGCCAATCAGCTTTCAGCTGGGGCCAGCGCCCCTGTGGCCCCGCCCTTGTATATACCCCTGTAAATGAGAAATGTGAACTGGGTTGTCTTTTTTGTTGCTATGCTATGAATGTGACAGGACAAAACACTGCGAGCCATTTGTGGGCCTGGGGATATCGAGGCCGTGTGCGAGTGTGCCGGTACTGGGGGGGGGGGGGTTGCCTGGCAGCGTATGGGGGGTTTGCGAGTGTCAGGGGCGCATGTGTGTAATCTCACACCTCGCTGGAGTCCTCCTGCTGGTTAATGACGGTCAGCGCGTCCTCAGATGCTTGCCTCTTGGCCTCGGCCAGTGCCCGCTCCATCTTGGACCTTTCGGTGGAGATCATCTCGTGGGCTTTGCGCTCAGCGTCTGACACGGCCTTCTGCAGCTCTAGCATGGCCTGTCTCTTCACCTCGTTCACCGCCTCCTCTGCGAGGGGGGGGGGGGGG